CACATGTTTGGGCTCTTGTTTTCCTCCTTTCTCTCTTTTTAAAATTAATATGTTCCAGGCTACATCTGTCTTGCAAGATTTTCTCATATCTTTTAGTCCAGTAATTTACATTTTCTTGGTTTTCTGAACTATTGAAGTTGTTTGTCTTTTTAAATCTTTTAAGGATAGCTTTTGTCTAATTTCAGTGGGATTTTAGGCAGAGAGAAATAGATACATGCTCAGTGTGCTGTCCTGATATAATCCCCACTCCCTTCATTTTGCATTTTTTGATGGTATCTTAATTGTAGCATAAAGGTGTGTGCCTTATAACTTTATTACACAAAGGTCTGTGCCTCTTGTCAATATAAAAGTGCTTAATAGAGATTGCCATTTTCTAAACTGGTATCAAATTATACTCCTACCAGGAGTAGAAGAGAGGTCCACTTTCTCCACATGGTCTTTAGTCTTTGATATTCTTAGGGTGTTTAAATGTAGTGATTCTGGTGGGTATATAGTGGCATCTCATTGTGGTTTTAAGTTGTATTTCCCTGGTGAATAATGATACTGGGCTTCTTTTTATATGCCTATAGGCCATTTGATAATTCTCTTGAGTGAAACTCTTGTTCAAGTCGTTTGCCTATTTTTCAATTGGGTCGTCTTTCTCTTATCGTTATTAGGAGTTCTTTGTATATTCTTTTTGTTTGTTTGTTTGTTTGTTTTAAAAAGATTTTATTTATTTATTTGACAGAGAGAGACACAGAGAGAGAGGGAACACAAGCACAGAGAGTGGGATATTCTTGATACAAGTCCTTTGTCATATGTATTGCAAGCATATCCATGTATATGGCTTACTCATTCACTTTCTCAGTGATATCTTCGATGAACAGAAAGTCTTGATTTTAATGACAACTAAGTTATCTTTTTTTGTTGTTTTATGTTAGTGCTTTTTTGTCCTTTTTTTTTTTTCCAGTTGGGCTTGAACCCAAGACCCCAAGATCAAGACCTGAGCTGAGATCAAGAGTTGGATGCTTGGGGCACCTGGGTGGCTCAGTCGGTTAAGCATCTGCCTTCAGCTCAGGTCATGATCCTGGGGTCCTGGGATCAAGCCCTGCATCAGGCTCCCTGCTCAGTGGGGAGTCTGCTTCTCCCTCTGCCCCTCACCCTGCTCTCATGCTCTCTCTCTCACACTCTCTATCTCAAATAAATAAATAAGATCTTAAAAAAAAAAAAAGTCTCAGATGCTTAACTGACTGAGCCACCCAGGTGCCCCTGCTTTTGGTGTCCTTTTAAGAAATTTTTGCTTACTTAAAGGTCATGAAGATATCCCACTTTCTTCTAGAAGCTAGATTGTTTTAACTTTCACATTTAGGTGGATGATCCACTTCAAAACAAATTTTGTATGTGGTGTGAAGTCTCCCCAACCCCTATGGATATCCAGTTGCTCTAAAGTCATTTATTGAAAAAAACCTTTCTCACATTAAATTTTAGTGGTGCCTTTATGACCATATATAGAGAGGTCTATTTCTGGACTTCCTGTTACGCTAAGTTGATGTGTAGGTCTGTGCAATAATACTACATTGTCTTAATTTATAGTAAATTTTAAAATCATGTAATATAAATCCTTCATATTTATTCTTAAAGATTTGTTTGGCTATTCTGTGTCCTTTAGTTTCCAGATAAATTTTGTAATCGGTGTGTCAATTTTCACACTTATACACAAAATCTGCTGGGATTACTATTGGAGTGAATTAAATCTTTGTATCAGTTTGGTGAGAATTTTTGCCCAAACCATATTAAGTCTCCTAATCCATGAACTTGATATAGATCTCTCCATCTATTGAGGTCTTTAATTTCTCTTAGTTTTGTAGTTTTCCAGATAGAGGTCTTAAACCTCTTTCATTAGGTTTATTTCTGTTTTTTTCTAATGCTGTGGCAAGTGGTATTTTAAGAAATTTCATTTCCAATTTCTTTTAAACCACATTTGTCCTGTTCTCAACTTTCTATTTTGATCTATCTTTAAGTTGACTGGAAATCTTCCTTGAATTTCTTTTTTTTTTTTTTTTCAGGAAATGCATGTGATGGTAAACATTAGTTTTACAGGCTGGGATTTTCTGTTACCTTCAAAAATGTATAATAAATTGTCTGGGGATAGAATTTTGGGGCCATTGTTTCTTTTTATCTCAATGTCTAGTGACTATTTTTCCACAATCTTCTGACATCTAAAGTTGCAGATAAAAGACTAATGTCACTCTAAATTGTTTTTCTTTTGTGTATAATCTGTTTTTACACAAAAGGTTGTTACCCTTTCTTATTCTAGGAATTGCCATAGTTCCCCCACATATGCCTATTGTGGGGGTTTTGTTTGTTTGTTTTTTATTAGTTTTGCCTTGGTAATTGGTATACTTTTGATCTAAGGACTCAAATCTTTCTTCAGTACAGAGGAGTGTTCTCCTGCTTCTCTGATCAATCCTAGTGGAATTCTTTTTTTTTTTTTTTTAAGATTTATTTATTTGAGAGGAGAGAGCGTGCGCACGCACACGCAGGCGCCGGAGGAGGGGCAGAGGGAGAGAGAGAATATTTCAAGCAGACTCTCTGCTGAGCGAGGAGCATCATGCAGGGCTCGATTCCACGGCCCATGAGATCATGACCTGAGCGGAAATGAAGAGTCTGACACTCAACCGACTGAGCCACCCAGGCGCCCCAATCCTTCTGGAATTCTTATTGTTTGCTTATTAAAGGAATTTGGCCTCCCTAGGTCTTATCATTTTCTCATTAACTTCAATTGCTTCATCGTTTTACTCTTTATTCTTGAAAACTGTATCATGTCTTTTTATTCACTAATTTCATTTTGTGTGATGGCCATTTCACTGTTCACTGCTTTTGTTAGTCATCCTTAAAATTTGGAATTCATGTTTTCCAATCCAACAATGCTCATATTTCAAATTGCTTCCTTTATTATTATTACTGCCTGATTTGTCTTATAGATACATTGGTATCTCTTTTCTCTATAGTTATATTCTTGCCTCAGCTCCTGTTCTTCTATCAGCCCCCATTCTCCAGGCAGAAAAAATAATTTTCCGTTTGCTTTCCATCCTACTCATCCAGTGTGTTATAGTTACTTGCTTATATGTTGACTCCCTTGTCCCCTGTGAGCTCCCTAAGAATGCAGTCACACTTTTCCATTTTTATATCACAGCACCCAGCACAATGTCTTGCATGCCTAGGTGCTCAATACAAGATAGTTGAGTTGAATTGTGTATTGACTCTTCAAACTGGAGGTCAGCTGCAGAAGGCTATGAGGGATCTTTTGAGGTGATGAATGTTCTAAAACTGGCATGGGCTGATGTTTGCACAACTGTAAATTTACTACACATCATTGAATCATACTCTTAAAACATGGATTTGATGGTATGTAATTACAATTTAATAACTCTGTTTAAAAAAAAGAGACAACTGGCAGGGCAGTGCCTGGCTGGCTCAGTTCAATGGAACATGTGACTCTTGATCTCAGGGTTGTAAGTTTGAGCCCTACATTGGGTATAGAGATTACTTAAAGATAAAATCTTTCAAATAAATAAATAAATAATAACTGGTGGCAAAGGTGTAGCAAAGCCATTGCTATTACTGGAAAGTTGAGCAAGGCTACGATAGTAGGAATATATCTTTCCACATTTCGTGCAAAGTCGATAACTGTTACCTGCAAGAGGGTTAGTCGGATAGAAGGGAGTTGACTGTTTTCAGAAATGAAACTCCCAGATCAGAGATATTTGTCATCTTACTTGGGAATGGTAAATAATTTTAACTGGCTCACCAATTCCCGTGCATTGTGAATATTTGCCTGGGGCACTATATTAAGGATTGCACATGAGCGTCTGGACTCAGTGGAATCGGATGTGGTAATGGATTATCAACATCCGCCGGCGGTGCAAGGGGGTGGAGGTGTGTGTGTGTGTGTGTGTCACATACATACCATCCTTTATCTGTCCGATGACACCCAGCTGGCCATGTGAAGGTAGCAGATCCACCACAGGGGGTGGGAAATTATCAAGAAAATGGAATAGAAACTTGTATTTTGTAATGTAAGGAGGTGAGAGGGTAATGAGCTTGTCTCTCTCCCTCTGTGTCTGCTACTCCTTGGGTCTGTGAACAGGGGATGAATTTGAGCTGAGGTGTGTTAGACACCATCGCTAGCCAGCGCTGCCATAACCAAGTACCACAGACTGGGTGGGTTCAACAGTAGTTCCAGAGGCTAGAAGTCCAAGATCAAGATGGCGGCAGGGTTGGTTTCTCCTGAGGCCTCTCTCCTAGGCTTGTAGATGGCCGCCTTCTACCTGTGTCCTCACGTGGTCTTCCCTCTGTTCAGGTCTGTGTCCTGATTTCCTCCTCGGGACACCACTCATTACATAGGGCCCACCTTAATGACCTCATCTTAATGTAATCACCTCTTTAAAGGCCCTGTCTCCAAATACAGTCACATTCTGAAGTACTGGGGATTAGGACTTCGACATATGAATTGGAGGTGGGGGGTACAATTTAGCTCATAACATGGGAAACTTTTTAAAAATTAAATAAGGTTAAAATGAAATAGAAACTATATGTTCAGAATCGAAACAAGAAAAAAATATTTCATTCCCTTTGAAGAATATGTATTAGTAAAGCAGCCCTTTGGAGCAGTGCCTTGTGCAAATGAGCTGAAGATGGGAGTGAATGCATATCCAGTCTTGAGTTTGTCCCTTAAGTGGCAAAGCCAGAAGTACTAACAGTTGAAGAGTCTCTGTTAGGTGGTCCCCGGTGGGCTGCCTCACCTGCCAGCATATTCCTCATTTAGTTTATGGTCTCACATCCTGGTTAGGTTGCTTTTTCAGGCTAAGATCCCAACTTGAGCATTGCCTTTCCCCCTCCATGGCAGAATGCCTTTCTAACAGCAGTTTGTCTGTGGATAGAAATAGTGTCTGTCCCCTACATGCTGCTATGATGAAGTCTTCCAAACATCCATGCTGTTGTTCCTTTGTGTCTTCCAGAGGCTTTCTGAAAGAAGCTTTCAGGAGAGGAGGCCCAGATGGCTCCAGTGCCCGCCTCATGAGGGGAGAGATCACGTTTTCCCAGGTAAAGGGACACTTCATAGACCCCCTCAAGAAGGCATTCTGTGCCCACATGCCCATCTCCCGCACTGACTAGAAGCTCTCTGATGGCAGACCCATGTTTGCTTCACCGATGTACCCCGTCTAGCACTTCCGTCGTAGGACTGGGATGGGGGCTTAGAGACCCACAGAGAGAGAGTTAAGACTGGCTTATTGTCTCTTTGCAGGATCTACCCCATGACTGGAAAATTGCCAACCCCTTGAAAATCTATACCAGGCAGAGTAGCGCTTTTTTTTTTTCTTCTTAAATGGTGATAAAATACACATAATACAAAATTTATCACCTTGATCACTTTTAAGTATGTAATTGTGTAATATAAAGTATATTCACATTGTGAAGCCATCACCACCATCCATTTCCAGAACTCTTCATCTTGCAAAACTAAAATCCTATACCCCTTAAACAAAAACTCCCATTCTTCTTTTCCCCCAGCCTCTGGCAACCTTCCTGTCTCCATGAATGCGGCTACTCTAGCCACATTAGAGAAGTAGGATCATGCAATATTTGTCCTTTTGTGCCTGGCTTATTTCCCTTGGATGATGTCTTAAAAGTTCATCCATGCTGTGGCATGTGAAAGGCTTTCTTTCCTTTTTAAGGATGGATAGTTTTCCATTGTATGGATAGACCACATTTTGTTTGTCCATTCTTCTGTCAATGGACACCGGGGTTGCTTCCATCTTTTGGTTATTGTGAATAATACCACTGTGAATATGGGTGTGCGAATATCTACGTGACACCTTGCTTTCAGTTCTTCTGGGTATAGACCCAGAAGTGGGATTGCTGGATCATACAGTAGATCTGTTTTTAATTTTTTTTAAGGACCCTCCATCCTGTTGTCCAGAGTGGCTACACCAGTTTGTATTCCTCTGAGCAGTGCACAAGATTTCCAGTTTGTCCACATCTTCGCCAATCCTCATCAGTCTTTGTTTTGTTGTTTATTTGTTCTGTTGTTGATAGTTGTCATCTTGAGAGTAGCTGTTTTCACAGGGCCAATTGCGGGGAGGGGTTGTTAAGTAATAACTGGATAATGGGTGGGCTTTGGAGTCAGAGAGCAGGATTTGAATCACAGCTCCCACTTACAGACCGTGTCCCCCCCAGCAAGTTGCTTAACCTCCCAAAGGCCCAGTCTTGCCATCTGTAAAATGAGGGTGATCTACAGTCTACTTCATGGATAGTTAGGAAGCTAGGAAAGTGTCTCGCACGGTGCCTGGCACATAGCATGTGCTAAATAAATAACAGTTACCATTGTGACTACAGCCTCCACTGATTTTTAACAAAGTAATCAGGATCTGAAACCATTTGAATTCTCAGTGTCTGGAAGAAGAAAGGCTATTGAGAATCTATAAGCACACAGAGAACATGGTCTATATTTTAACACTTTTTATGAATTAGAGCCACCTATCGGTCTGTCAGAGAACTTAGGGCCCACTGTAGGAGAAAGCAGGAGTCTACCTTTTCTGTGAAGGCACAGAGCGCGCGTGGATGCACGCACGCTTGCACACGCACAGTGGCTGGTGACTGAAAAACTAATGATACTGCTGAGAATAAATGTGAAGTCAATAAGAAATCTGCAGTAATATTGTTGGAAGAGAAGGAAAGAAGGAAGTACAATGTGTTTTCAATGAACATAGGAATGATAGAGTGAAATTCTAGTAATTGCTATGAAAACCCTGCACCCGTTCTGACTTCTTTCGTCCGTATGTAGCTTCTAGGCAACTTGAATGGTTAGCAGATGAGGTCTGAAATAGCAAATTGCAGTTGATCCTTGAACAACATGAATTGGAACTCACGGGTCTACCTATCCATGGATTTTTTTTTTTTTCAATAAATACACATACAGTGCTGTAACCGCATTTTCCTCTTCCATTTGATTTTCTTTTTTTTTTAAAAAGATTTTATATATTTATTCATGAGAGAGAGAGAGGCAGAGCGAGAAGCAGGCTCCCAAGGAGCAGGGAGCCCGATGCGGGACTCGATCCCAGGACCCTGAGATCATGACCTGAGCCGAAGGCAGACGCTTAACCATCTGAGCCACCCAGGCGCCCCCATTTGACTTTCTTAATAACATTTTCTTTTCTCTGCCTTACTTTATTATGAGAACACAATATATAATACATATAACATATAAAATATATATTAATCAACTCTATGTGATTGGTAAGGCTTCTGGTCAACAGTAGGCTATTAGTAGTTAAGCTTTTGGGGAGTCAAAAATTATATGTGGGGCTCCTGGGTGGCTCAGTCGTTAAGCGTCTGCCTTCGGCTCAGGTCATGATCCCAGGGTCCTGGGATCGAGTCCCACATCGGGTTCCTTCCTCGGCGGGAAGCCTGCTCTCCCTCTCCCACTCCCGCTGCTTGTGTTCCTGCTCTCGCTATCTCTGTCTCTGTCAAATAAATAAATAAAATCTTTTAAAAAAAAAAATTATATGTGGATTTTCAACAATGTGGGGGGTTAGGGCTCTCAACCCCCACGTTATTCAAGGGCCAACTATATATTATGACAAAGGCTACTTAGGTTCAATTTGTCTTCAGAAATCATGTCTTGAAAATGAATGTCGTCTTAATTTTTCATTTGTGTGTATGGGCACCTGGGTGGGAAATTTTTTCTCATTTGTGTGTACAATACAAACAGAAAAGTACACAAAGTATACAGTTTAATGACTTTTCACACAAACTGAATGCACCCATGTCACTGGCACCCAGATTAAGAAATAAAACATAATCAGCACCATGGGCACCCCACTTACGCACCTTCTAACGCTACCCCTCCAAGAGTAACTAACCATCCTGACTTCCAACCTTAGAGATCACTTTTACCTATTTTGTACTTTATGCAAATGGAACCACACCGATAAATCTTTTGTATCTGGCATCTTTTCCTCAACACTGTATTTGTGAGAATCATAGATGTCATTGTATGCAGTCATAAATAGTTTTATTCTCATCACTGCATGATATTCCATTGTATGAAGATACTCTGATCTGTTTATCCATTTTTTTTTCACCCTGAGATGGAAAGGCATTGGGAGATTTGGAGCAGTGAAGTGACATTATGTATATATATTGGCAGCAAGGAAAAGGGTTTTTTAAAATTTTATTTTATTTATTTATTTGTCAGGGGGAGAGAGAGCGAGCACGCACGAGCAAGCACAAGCAGGGGCAGTGGCAGGCAGTGGGAGAAGCAGGCTTCCTGCTGAGCAAGGAGCCCCATGCAGGACTCGATCCCAGGACACTGGGATCATGACCCGAGCCAAAGGCAGACGCTTAACCCACTGAGCCACCCAGGCGTCCCAAGGAAAAGGTTTATTCGAGAGGCAGCCAGACAAGGAGATGGGAAGGCAAGCCTCAAATCCACCTCCTGACTGATATTTTTAAAACCTCATTCTTGCTGCTGCATAAATAGACCAAAAGGGCAAGGATCATTATAGACTAATTAAGGAAGCTATTGGAAGATCTGGGTGAGAGATGGTGGTAGCTTGGACTAAGGTAATATTGGTGGAAGCAGTAAAAAGTGATCCAAGTCTGGAATATTTTGACAGTAGATTCCACAGGCCTTCCTGATAGATTGAGTATGAGTATGAGAGAGGAATGAAGGATAACAAACGTTTCTGACCAGAACCAACTGACAGTTATCAGTTGCTGTTCGCTGCTCTGGGGCTGGGAAATCAGGTGCCCGATTTGGGATATTTCAATTTGAAATGCCTATTGATCTCCAAATAGAGCGTGCAAGAGGCAGCTGCATATACAAACCCAGAGCTGAAGGAACATCTTACACACACACACACACACACACACAGCATATAGATGGCATTTTTAATGCCACTGGACTCAGTGTGATCACTGAGAAAGGGAGTATAAATGGAGAATCCAGAATCCTGGGTACTCTAGTATTAAAGGTCAGGTTGATGAGGGGGACCCAGGATTGAGAGATGGAGAATGAATCTCCACCGATAAGAGAAACATTAGGAGGGTGTGGAGTCCTGAAAGCCAAGGATTTATCAAGTTTCAGATGAAGAGAGTGGCCATCTGTGTTGATGCAGCTGATGGGTCAGGCAAAATGAAGGCTGGCAAGTGCCCATTAGATACAGCAACACAACATGGAGGTCACTGATAACCTTGGCGAGAGAGGGTGGAATGTGGAATGGGGAGGTCAAAGCCTGATCAGACTATGTTCAAGAAAGAATGAGAGCAACGGTTTGAAGACTATGTGAAGTTTTGATACAAAGTGGGGTAGAAAAATGGGGCAGTAGAAGGAGGGGATAAGGTCAAGAAAGAGGTTTTCTTTATGATAACAATATGCTTGCATGCTGATGGCAATGGTCCCATAGCGAGGGAGATTGCTGATAAAGGAATGAGGAAGGGAGACCCACTGGAGCCACGTCCTTGAAACAGAAAGGGATGGAATCTAGATGGAGGGGTTGAGCTTTGATAAGAGCAATGGACCATTATCCATGGTAACAGAAGGGAAGATGGAGTTCTTGGCCACTAATGCTGGTAGGTGGATGGTGATGGTGAGAACTTGTGAAAATTCTCTTCTAATTATTCTCCCTTCCTCCAATCCTCCTCACTGTTTCTGGGATGACCTCCCTAAAATGCAAATCTACTTATGTAACTCTCCCACTTAACTATATATATATATTTTTTTTTCTTTGTGTAACAGTCTAAGGCTGCAAGAGTTTTATTATTTTTACGGAAAGGTGAATACTTCCATTATTTTTCCAATTTCATTAATGGTTTTAGTCTACTCACATTTTATATTTTATCTTGCATCAGTTTTGGCATTTGTATCTTTTTTTTTCTTTTTATCTTTTGGCCCCCTTCACCCATTTCTCCCACCCCGTCCCCCACCACCTGCCTCTGGCAACCACATTCTCTGTATCTATAAGTTTGGCTTTTTTTGTATTTTTTGGTTTTGTTTCTGTTTTTAATTTAATGCCCACATATAAGAGAGATCAGACAGTATTTGTCTTTCTCTACCAGACTTATTTCATGTAGCATAATGCCTTCGATGTTCATCTAGATTGTCACAAATGGCAAGATTTTGTTCTTTTTTATGGCTGAATAATATTCCATTAAAGTTATATACCACATTTTCTTTATACATTCATTCATCCATTGATGGGCATCTAGGTTGTTTCCATATCTTGGCTATTATAAATAATGCTGCAGTGAACATGGGGGTGGGGTGCAGATATCTTTTTGAGTTAGTGTTGTTGTTTTCTTTGGATAAATACCCAAAGTGGAATTGCTGGATCATAGGGTAATTCTAGTTTTAATTTTTTGAGGAACCTCCAAACTGTTTTCCATAGTGGCTGCACCAATTTACATTCCCACCAACAGTGTGAGAGTGTTCCCTTTTCCCTACGTCTTCACCAACATTTGTTATTTCTTGTCTTTTTGATAATAGCCATTCTAATAGGTGTGAGGTGATATCTCACAGTGGTTTTGATGTACATTTCCCTGATGATTAGTCATGTTGAACATCTTTTCATGTGTCTGTTGGCCACCTATATGTCTTCTTTGGAAAAAATGTCTTTTCGGGTCTTCCATACATTTTTTAATCAAGTTGTTTGCTTTTTTTGCCGTTAGGTTGTATGAGTTCTTTATATATTTTGGATATCAGCCCCTTATCAGATATATCATTTGCAAATATCTTCTCCCATTCAGTAGGTTGCCTTTTTGTTTTGTTGATGGCTTCCGTCGCTGTGCAAAAGCTTTTTATTTTGATGTAGTCCTAATAGTTTATTTTTGCTTTTGTTGCTTTGCTTTTGTTGTCAGATTCAAAAAATCATCAGCAAAACCTATGTCAAGGAACTTACCACCTACATTTTCTTTTAGGGGTTTTAGGGTGTCAGGTCTTGTGTTGAAGTCTTTCATCCATTTTCAGTTGATTTTTGTGTATGGTGAAGTGGTCAAGTTTCATTGTTTTGCATGTGGCTGTCCAGATTTCCCAACACCATTTATTGAAGAGATTGTCCTTTCCCCATTGTATATTCTTGGTTTCTTTGTTGTAAATTATTTGACCATATATGTATGCATGGGTTTATTTATGAGCTCTCTATCATTCTGCTATTGGGGTTTGGGTAGTTTTCAGTTTGAACTATTACAAATAGTGCTGCTATGATAGTGTATAAACATATCACAATCCATTTTGCTGCTAATAAGTGTATTAGTTACCCAGGGCCGCCATAACAAAATACCGCAGACTGGGTGGTTTAAACAATAGAAATTTATTTTCTCATAGCTCTGGAGCCTAGAAGCCCAAGATCAAGGTATTGGCAGGGTTGGTTTTTTCTGAGGTCTCTCTTCTTATCTTGTAGTGGCCATCTTCTGTGTCTTCGCAGTCTTTCCTGTGTGTGTGTGTATGTGTGTCCTAATCTCCTGTTCTTACAAGGACACCAGTCAGATTAGATTAGGGCCCACTCATGACCTCATTTTACCTTAATCACCTCTTTAAAGACCCTACCTTCAAGGACAATCACTTTCTGAGGTGTGAGGGCTTAAGACTTCAACATGAATTTTGGGGGAACCCCATTCAGCCCATAAACAGGGGCATTTGTGTAGCTTGTAGTTTCAGGGCTCTTGGAAATAATGCTCCTGCAAGTGCATACACAAACATGTCTTTTTGGTGAACATACGTAGACATTTCCATTGGGTGTGGGTCTAGGAGCGGAATTGCTGGCTCAGAATGCATATGATCAGATTTAGTAAATGCTGCCAAAAGCTTTTTCAAAGGAGGTACCAATTGATCGTCCCTCATCAATTCACTCTTACAGTGGGTGCCACTCATGGAAGAAGACTGCAGGAAATGTTCTGAGGACTCTGGAATCCGCCTCCCTGAGAATTTCTCTGTAAGCCAGATCTTTGGCAAGGCAGCTGCAGCAAGAAAGATCAACCACCCCATGCTTCAGGCAGCTCTTGCCCTCAGAAAGAAGGGTAAGGATCCAATACTGGCCGTTCTCTGAACCAACCACACTAGAGCCCTTGGGTGTGTTAGGTCAGAATACATCTATATGTGTTCCGAGAGCACAGATCTTCTGGACCTTGATGGAAAGCCGTTCTTAAAAACATAGCCCTGAAGTAAGTTTTATCAAATGGCAAAAAATAGCACTATCAGAATAGCTGGGGAAAAAAAAATGAAAGAATTTTATTTAACAAAGCAGTGTGTGCCAGAGACTGCGTTGTGAGCAAAGTTCTCTCCCTCCAGTGACACTAGTAATGACCCAACCTCTTGTCACAGTGATTGAAAATCAAGGCCTTTTAAGCAACTGTGATTGTCTCAGCCTCTGAATGTCAAAGTGACTGAGCTATGAGCTGGCTGACATGAATTCAGATGGTGTCAAATGGTCTGGGACATGAGCTCATGTTCATCCAGTAGGGATTTATGTAGTTTTGGAGCCCAGCTCTTCTTCACAGGTATATTCGAAATCATTCTACCCACTTATCAGCAGACTTACCAGGTCATGGCTCAGCCGTCCCATGTCCATGTTTCTCACTCATGTTCCATGGAAAGGGTCTCACCACTGACTCATCAGTGCCTTGTTTCCAGCACCCCCTACTTCTTGCCCTTCTTGGTTAGGGGGAGAAAGCCAGGGATAATGCCATTTCTGCTGACATTCCTCTAGTTTTGAAATGGGAATGCAGTCTCCGACAGCCAAGGCAAGAATTTTGAAAGATAGTCAAGCAGAGTTTTCAGTAACATAGACTTGGAAGGAGCACTGGAGGGGCAGTCCAAAGGCAGGATTCTGGGCCTGGCCCAGTTCTGCCTTCACTGTGTGGCTCTGGGAAGCTCCACATTTGTCTGAGCTTCTGTTTGCTCATCTGGTAAGATCTGTCCTGCCTATTCCAGAAGTGGTAAGGATCACATGAGCTGATGAAGATCACAACCTCTTGCTCTACAATTGCAAGAAATTAAGGGATGTAGTGTTTCTATCAGTGCTTCTGAAAGCCCTTCATGTACCCGGTCTGCTTACTCTCCTGTCTCTGTGTCAGGAGGTGCTTATGGGTAAAGATGATTCTTGTCCCATCTGTCAGTTTAGAAGCTGGGCATCAAGAAGTTGATGCAAAGAAGAACCCTGCGTGGCCCCTTCTTTGGGGTTCCCTGTGGGGTTATCCTGAGCTTCTTGGAGCAAAGTTCTGTATCTGGTCTAGTCACTGGTGACTTCTCATTCAGGATATACAACCTGCATCCTCACCAACAACTGGCTGGATGACAGTGCTCAGAGGGGCAGCCTGGCCCAGCTGCTGTGTCAGCTGAGGCCGCACTTTGACTTCCTGATAGAGTCGTGCAGGATCAGAATGGCCAAGCCTGAGCCGCAGATCTACAGGTTCGTGCTGGACACCATGAAGGCCAGCCCCAGTGAGGTATGTAGACACTTCCTTTAGTGAAAAAGAATGTTCTAGAGATATTGCAAATAAGAAAAATTGAGAAGGAGTGAGCAGATGGAGGACATCTGGGGCCTGGTGGTTTGATTCTAGGTCCAGTGGCAGGTTCCCACTCTCCCAGGCCAGGACTTCTGAAGGACTTTACCTGTCCCTTCAGTCTAGAACATTCTACAAGAGATGGGCATGTGGCCCCTCTCTGTGGCTTTTATAGGTCAAAACAGGTATTGTCGAAACTGCTAGACCCGCTGCCTTAGTTTGCCTATAAAGAAACGTAGACCCTGGGAGATTTTCCCAAGACCACAAGGCTGGTAAGGGTTACGGTCACCCTACCAAAGGGTGAGTGGAAGTGGGCTCCAATATTAGAGCTATCTCCTCTAGGAACCCCTAAATTCTGTCTTCATACTCTCTCTAAGTATCTATTCTAAAATTCTGTTTCCCTTGTATTCCCCACCTCTAATTTTCAAAAAGGCAATTAGACCAAGATTAAATACCTTTCCCTGATGTTTCTGACCCTTTCTTGTTGGCCCCATCTCATCCACAAGCTGATCAGATGAAACCCTAAACTTCCTCACAGGGAATCCTTACCGGGCTCAATCCCAGAACCCTTCCTATCTCCTCTTAAACTTTGCTCCTGCTCTTCTCAACCCCTGGATTAAGCTTTGTAACAGTGCTCTAAATTTTAATATACCTATAAATAAATGTCTTCTCATTTCTGGCTTTTGGGTTGTCAGATGAGCTGCTTAGAAGTCTGGGCCTGCCCTAATCCAAGATGATAATGCACTTATGCTTTCTTCTACAACTTTAAGGATTTTTTTTTATTTTAAAATTTAAATATTTGATCCATTCAGAATTTATTTTGGGGGAAGATGTGAGGGAAGTATCCACTGTTTTCCCCCAAACAGTTAAAATAATTATATAATCTTTTAAGTACTATTTTCCTCACGAGGTGGACAACACAAATTGTCATTTATATTTGGGTTCATTCCTCGACTCTCTTCTATTTCATTTGATATGTCTATATCTCTTCTAGCTCCCCACTTTTTTTAAAATTTTACCTTTTGTAGCTTCATAATTTGTTTTAGTATCATTACAGTTCTTTTCCAGATTTTTTTTTATCTGTTCATACATGTTGATTTCCTAGATGAATTTTAATATCACCCTGATAACTTTATATCCTTCCTTAATTTTCTTACAGTTTCAGAATTCAGGCTGAAACCCACAAGTGTGTGTGGGAATCTGTACATCTCTCTGTGTGTTTATGGGTACGCTGATGTAATTCAATATTTTTAATTTTAAGAGTAAACAGATATGTGGAGGAAAACATAATTCTTCACCTTGTAGTCATAAAATAACCACTATTCACATTTTAATGTGTGTCTTTCCAGTGCTGTCCCTCACTGGTGAGTTTTGCTTTGGATTAAAGTGATGCTAGTGTCCCTGCTATTTGGATTCAGGTTGTGTTCTTGGATGACGTTGGGGCTAATCTGAAGCCGGCCCGTGACTTGGGGATGGTCACCATCCTCGTCCGTGACACAGACACAGCCCTGGCAGAACTGGAGAAAGTAACTGGGGTGCAGGTAACTCTCTGGGTTGCACTGGGTCGGGTTTCCTGCCCCTTCTCTGTGTTAGGGGTGTAGGAGACACAGCAGGCGAGAGGGGGACCGGTTCAGGGAGTTCATTGCTCCCTGATGGGCCTTCACCATGCTGTCCCTGAAGAACTTCTTGTTTCTTTCTCTGCTGTCATGAGCAGAGAAGCGATGCTCTGAGAGCAAGAATCCATACCAGTCAGAGTCAGAGGAACCAAGACCCAAGGCAGGAGCGAAGCTTTCAAAGCCACCAGACTTCACTGTATTTATTTATTTATTTTAATTTTTTAAGTTAAAAAATATTTTTATTTTTAGACTTGACTTTTTAGAGTAAATATCGAGAATTTAGCTATTAGGTCTGCCCCAGTGGGGGTAGGGAGCACAGTCCTCACCTGGTCTGCCTGGTTATACTGCTGGGACTCAGTGGAGTGGTTTAAACCATCCCTCAGAGAGGAGGGACGCCCTTAATGATGCCCCAAGGGGGCTGCCTGGGGATTAGCCTGTGGTGCCAGAGCCGAGGCCCCTTTTGTTATTTTGAGTTTACCTAAGATCTCCATCCCACTGAGCCCCAGAGTCCCAGGGCCAGTTACACAAGGCTTTTGCAGGAATGCAATGCTTGTGTCGGGGCGGGTGGGGGGGGTGGCGCGTGCACCTGGCTGAGCTAGCTGGACGGCGCAGCCATCCCAACTTTTTCTCAAAGGGCACTGTGTCCGTTTCCCTGAGCTGCCATAAAATACACAGACTGGATGGTCAAGACAACAGTCTCACGAGGAGGCCAGAAGTCCCAAGATTAAGGTGTTGGCAAGGGCAGTTCCTTCCAAGACCTCTCTCCTTGGCTTGTAGATGGCCACATTCTCCCTGTGTCTTCACATGGTCTTCCCCCAGGTGTGTCCAAATGTCCTCTTCTTTTACAAGGACACCGGCCAGATTGGATTCTGACTCCAATGACCTCCTCTAACCGTAATGACCTCTTTAAAGACCTTATCTACAAACATAGTCACATTCTGAGGCCCTGGAGGTTAAGACTTCAACCGATGGATTTGGAGGGGACACAATTTAGCCCCCCACGATAGGGACAAATGACTTTTCATCTTTTTTTTTTTAATTTTATTTTATTATGTTAGTCACCATACAATACATCATTAGTTTTTGATGTAGTGTTCCATGATTCATTGTTTTCGTGTAACACCCAGTGCTCCATGCGGTACGTGCCCTCGTTAATACCCATCACTGGGCTAACCCATCTCATCTTTTTTTTTTTTTAAGATTTTATTTATTTGAGACAGAGTGAGCATGAGTGGGGGGAGGGACAGAAAGAGAGGGAGAAGCAGGCTCCCCTCTGAGCAGGGAGCCCAATGCAGGGCTTGATCACAGGACCCTGAGATAATGACCTGAGCTGAAGGCAAATGCTTAACCGGCTGAGTCACCCAGGTGCCCCTGACTTTCCATCTTTAACAAATAAATAAAATCTATCTAATGACTTCACAGCCATAAACTGTCTTGCCCAAGCTTGATCTGTCCTTCAGCAAGCCTGGAAGTCTCATGCAACAGAGGAGAAAACACCCAGACTTGGAATCCCAGCATCCACCTGCTTGTCCCACTTACTAGTTGTCCCCTCGTCACATACGAGTCACAGAAGACTGTCCCATAATCGGGAAAGTAAGCCATGCCTCACCTGTCTTCTCCAGAGTAGGGGGAGGATACAAGGAAGAATGAGAACTAGTCCTTTTTAAATGGAGGAGACTTGCCTCTTCTCTCTCAGGAAGGCTATGGGACTCAGTCCTGAACAGGCTTTGTAAATTGTAAAAACAGCAGGAGAACGGTGAGAGCCGGAAACCCCCATCCCCTCACCCCTGGAAAGAGAAGGACATCCCTTAGGAGGCCAGGGATACCTCAGCAGAAGGGCCCCAAGGGACCCTGGTCCTTGGTTAGTGTCTTGGCTCCCTCAGGCCGGACAAGGCTCATTGCCATCAGAGGGCACCCAGCTGCCCATCCCTCCCACCACACCTTGAATCCTCTCCAGGTGCGATGGAGATAGGGGGCTTGCCTTCTGATTCCCCCGCTGAGGACATCCAGGCAGACTCTTCCATGTTTAAAAAAGGAAGATAAATTTCATGGTTTACTTCCCCCACTTTAGAGGTCGGAGCCACTTCTTCCTTAGGTCGCATATTTGGGACTAAAGATGAGCGATCTAGTAGTAGGAGTCGCTAATATGTCCCTTCCTGTGAATAAGTTCGCTTACATGTGTCAGCATCCTGTCCTTTGTCATTTCTGTCTCAAGAAACCTGACATGAATAAGGTAAAGAAGCCCCTTAAGAAAGACCATGTGAGGGCCCAGGGCAGAGGTGCAAAGCCAAAGAGAGAGGACTCAGGAGGAGCCAAGCCTGAACCAACCAAGGTGTTGGACTCCCGGCTTCCAGAACTGAGAGACATAAATGTCTGTGGTGTCAGTCACCCAGTCTGTGGCGCATGGTAATGGCAGCTGGAGCAGACGAATCCAAAGGCCCAGAGAGTCTGATTTTGGCCAGCGTGAAGGAGAGACCCTTCAGCAGAGCCCCACAGTGATGGGATGGCTGCTGTGTGAACTTTGCGCTCCCGATGGTGTCCAACGTGAGCCTGGGTGACCACCTGAGGAACTGCCATAGAGAAGGATTATAGTCCTTGAAGTACGAAAGCTCAGCATTTTAGAGCAGGTGGTGTTTCTTTCCTGCTGATGTAAAGTTCAGGCGGTGGTGGCCAGGGGCTTTGCTTCATGCAGCTGTTCAAGGACCCGGGTTTGACAGAGGACCCACCGTCTTTCCCTGCTGTGTTCTCCCGGGTCACACCAGGCTCTCAGCCAGAAGGCAGGGGGCGGGGGGTGCGGTAGAGAATGTAGAGAACGGCGTGGGGATTTTAAGGAGCCAGGCTGACAGGCCACGCTCTTCTGTCCGAAGGACCCGGTCACGGGCTGCACTGAACTAAAACGGAGGGGGAGATGAGTACAACTCTGTGCTTGCAGGAGAGGGACAGGGCTGGGCAGTCCCCTGGAGGACGCAGGAGCCCGTGACACAGATGCCTAGAGCCAGCACTCTGGACTTTGGGAAACTCTGTCTGAGAACCTCTCACAGAAGGAGCCTGCTCCCTCTCTCCCTGTCCCCTTTTCCTTGCAGCTTCTCGGAGCCACAGCCCCTCTGTCAATCCCGTGCAATCCGAGTGATGCGAGCCACGGGTACGTGCCAATAAAGGTATGTGAGCACTCCCTCCCAATCAGCCGCGTCCGCCCTGACCAGCCCACCTACAATGGCCTGCAGAGACATTTGTTAAATATCAAGGGTAGCTGAACATCCACTGTTCATAGGGAAATAACATTTCTCCATATACTCATTCCTCCAAAATCACAAGACATGGATCATGCCTTAGGATATACAAAGCAGTGTACAGATGCGGTCAGACTCCCATGGAAAAACGGGTCACACGGGGCCTTGAGTAGCCCAGGCGTGCTGACGTGCATCTGTGTCTGGCCTGTGATCTGGGGAGAACCTGTTTTCATCCAGCAGGTATTTATCAAGCACTGCCGTGGTGTCAGCCATGGGCCAGACACGAGGGATGCAGTGAGGAACAAGACAGACCCATCCTCAAGGAACCCATAGCGAGGATAAAGAGACAGAATTAGTCATTAAAACAGCTGTGGTCAGGGCTACGGCAAGGCCAAGGCCATGTGCAGAGCGGCCCCGACTCCCGAGCCAGCCAGGATACAGAGCAGGGTGGTAGAATGTCTTTGTGGATTCACCTTGGAATCCTTCTTCATTTGTCATTGGTCCCATTTAAATGGGAAGAGACCTAGAACAGCTCATAAAAAAACAAGATGGGACAGTTGCTTTGGGCCAGATAGAACCAGTGTGAATCCTGGCTTCGGCACTAAGTTTGCAAATTTAGGTACATTTTTTTATCACTCTGAATCTCAGTGTACACAGCTTTATAATGAGGTGATGCTAATACCTCCCTTCAGTGTTCTTTTTTTTTTTTTTTTTTTAAGATTTTATTTATTTATTTGACAGAGACACAGAGAGAGAGCGAACGCAAGCAGGGGGAGTGGGAGAGGGAGAAGCAGGCTTCCCGCCGAGCAGGGAGCCCGATGCGGGGCTCGATCCCAGGACCCTGGGATCATGACCTGAGCCGAAGGCAGACGCTTAACTACTGAGCCACCCAGGCGCCCCTCTTCAGTGTTCTTGTATGGATTACACTTGACCCTTGAACAACATGGGTTTGAACAGCATGGGTCCACTTATCTGAGGATTTTGTACAGTACAGTGCTGTAGATGTATTTTCTCTTCCTTAGGATTTTCTTAAGAACGTTTTCTTTTCTCTAGCTCACTTTATAAGATTATAGTATATAATACACATAATGCAAAATAGGTGTTCATCGACTGCTATCGGTAAGGCTTCCAGTCAATAGGAAGCTAGTAGGAGTTAAGTTTTGGGGGAGTGAAGTTATATGCTGTTTTTGACTACGCAGGTGGGGGTCAGTGCCCCTTATCCCCACATTGTGCGAGGGTCAACTGTCATTGAAATACTGTATGTAGACCATGGGGCATTGTACCCGGCACCTCTGTGCTCCATAAACTGGAGCTGGTGGCATGAATGGGGCAGGTCTCCAGATCCAGGGGAAGTCCTGCTGCTTGGAGGACAGCCCCTCAAGGATTTATTGAGTATTTGTTGTTTTCGGGGCACCGAGAGAAATACCGAGATGAATGGAGTATCTTCTAAGACCTCAGGAATTTTGCAGTCTAGTGAGATACATATCCCCAGCCCCTGCACTTACAACCCAGGATGGGGTCCTTGTCTGATGGCGGTGCCCCAGCACGCTGCAGATGGGCTCCGTGAGGGTGGAGGCTGCATCAGGAAATGTTTAGCAGCGATGGTGAAGTGGGCATGAAACGATAAGTGTGAGCTGGGTAGTAAGAAAGGGCTAAAGCTACTGTCAGGGTCAGCCCAGCCCCTCCTGTAACCCTGGGCACTCCTGAAGGGGTGGACGCTTCATGAGGTCCCTTCAGACCTCATCTCCAGTATCAATGAGCAAGGGGCTCTCGGCTGGGATCTGGGCTGTGACCTTGTGTCTTCAACCCCATAGACAGGGTTATTCCATAATCCTCTTGAGGCTCGCAGGTCCAGTCAGTTTCAATACCTTTCTCATTTGACCTTGAAGGAGGGTGATCAGAACTGCTTTATCACCCCCTCTGTCTTCACCCCAAATTAAAGGCCTGGGGCAGTGACCTTTGGGGAGTCCCAGCCAAGCCCCACTCTGTGGGGCGCTATTCCATCGATCTCCACTGAATACTAATGCCACACAAGCTGGGTTAGGTCTTTCTTGTTTTCTGGCTTTATGGCAATTTTATTAACATATCATTTAAAGGATGGGAAAGTATGTGCATATGCTGAGCAGCAAAAGGGAGACTCTTAGTTTAGGATCCATTTAGAGCTGGGGCATGTTAGGATCATTTCCCTGGACATCAGTACTGCAACCCTTTTCAATATAAGGGATAGAATTTCAAGTTAAATCCCTTCCTTTGCCAAGTACTAATGAGAAGACTATGGAACATGTTCTGATAAGATTGTAGACCATGAAAGAGTTTGTGAAATGTCAGCCTAATGTTTTCTTGAGCAGAGTAACTCGCTGGGAATCATAAATGAAACTTCCGGTTAGAACATGAGCTTGGAGTAATCTGAGATGCAGCTACATAGAATTGTACCAAGTGAATTTCCATACGTAAAGCTTATTTTTCCCATTTATGTCCATTAGAAAGTTGGAGATACTTTTGGGGGGAAATAGAGCACTCTGATTGGATATTGCTTTAGTTCATGTGCTTAGACCACATGGTAATAATTGGAATAGGTTAAGTACTAAAACAAACCATCCCAAACTTCCGGTGGCTCAACATCAAGTTTATTCCTTGCTTGCCAGACAGTCCAATATGGGGTAGAAGTGGGCTCTCTCCATGCAGTCATCAAGTAGCCCATCTCCTTTCTGCTGGCTCTACCTCACCCGAGGCCCAAACTCTTCAGGGGCAGATAGGAAAAGAGGGAGGACCACGCGTGGGAGGTTTATATAAGCCCAGAATGTAGCACACATTTCTTCATTCTCATAGGCCATTGGCCAGAACTTGGTCCCATGGCCGCACCCATTGCAAGGAAGTGGGGGGAGGTCTGGAAAATGTTGTCATGTGCCAGGGAGAGAACACAGACATGGAGCTCTAGCAGGCTCTGACACACAGCCCAGAAAGCACTCCAAGTGTAGCAAAGCTTGGAAAAGATTTTGCATTCAAGAGAAAAACAGTTTTTAACAAAGTAATCCTGGTATTCTGCATGTTAACATGAATATTATGCTATGCACAAAATCAGCCCCAGTTTAAAATACGGAAGACAGACCAGTCAAACAGTACTGGAAACTCTGACACTATTAGGGCCTCTTAGGGAGGAAGGCAAAGTTGTTTTGCTTTTGTTTTTGTTTTTTTTTTCCAACATTATAACCTTCTTTTCAGGCCTCCTACGTTCCTATAGAAGCTGCCAGTTTTATTGCAGTTTGGCCAGTTGTGTCTTCTTGAACATCTCCTCCTGGCATCGGGGTCTTGGGCTGAGAAATTGTGAGGTCCGGCAGTACCCAGAGATGGCCCAGCGCGACCTGCAGAAGACGAGCTGGTTCTGTCCAGCCTGGCGCTGTGGTCATTTTCTGTTCACCTCTCTTTTCTACAGCCTGGGGTGCGTCTGCATTTTGTGGAGCTGGGCTCCGGACCTGCTGTGTGTCTCTGCCATGGCTTTCCTGAGAGCTGGTTCTCTTGGCGGTACCAGGTAAAGGAAACTGGGGGAAGGTCTGCCCCAGTCAAGGTGAAGGGAGAGGGAGGTCTAGATGGTGTGGCCCAGTGTAGAATGCCATTAAGAAGCTGAAACCTTGGGTCTCCTGGGTGGCTCAGTCTGTTAAGCATCTGCCTTCGGCTCAGGTCATGATCCCGGGGGCCTGGAATCAAGCCCCGCATTGGGCTCGTTGCTCAGTGGTGAGGCTGCTTCTCCCTCTCCCTCTGCCCTTCGCCCCGTTCATGCTCACTCTCTCTCATGCCCCCTGTCTGTCTCTCTCTCTCTCAAATAAATAAATAAATAAATCTTAAAAAGAAGCTGAAACCTTATAGTGGAGCATTGTCTCCAGTGATGACCATGATACCTCAGAAGTGTTGGAGCCAGCGATGGGTGCAGACCTCAGGGCTGTGCTAGCCCACATACCATCTTTGCAGATTAGAAGAAGGCAGATTCTTCAGGACACTTTATGCCACCTGCTGGGAAGTCTTTGTAATGAATATGGAAATCTGCAAAGTCTTTGCTAAGAAAAGTGCTCTCTTAGATGTAGTATTAGATGCAGTACACAGACCCTACCACTGTCCGTGGCAGCCTTATCCAGATGGGCTCATTCCAGCCTCATGGCAAGGATCCCAGATAGTGCCACATGGCACTTTGAGTTGAACCATTTACAAGAACGTGGGTAGAAGGAAGCAAAGAAGGAGTGTCTGCAAAAGACTGTTGAGACCACACTTGAGTGTTCCCAAACTGTTTGTTTTCCAGATCCCTGCTCTGGCTCAGGCGGGTTTCCGGGTACTAGCTCTGGACATGAAAGGCTATGGAGAATCATCTGCTCCTCCTGGTAGGTTAGCTGTCTCACAGCTGTCCTATGTTGGTCATGCCTTCTGACTGCCTGAGCTCTCCAACTGCACTGTCAGCCCCTGGTCCCAGGTCAGAGCAGATAGCCCTTGAGGGGGGGTCTGACTTTGCCCTTCCCCTCTCCTGCAGTGACCCTTGTCTATACTCTTTGGGCTCAGATGTCTCTGCTCCCCATACTCTGAATGAATACAAGAAACCCAGTGGCCTGAGGAAGTCTCGTGCTGGATGTAGGGTATAGGAAGTACCATCCAGCTACAGAACTTTTTCTATCTTGCAGAACTCTGTACCATTAAGCACTTATCCCCCGTTCTCCCTTCCCTAGCCCCTGACAACTACCCTTCTGCTCTCTATCTATGAATTTGACTACTCCAGGTATCTCTAAATGCATCATACAATATTTATCCTTCAGTGACTGGCTGATTTCACTTAGCATAACATCTTTAAGATTCCTCCATGTTGTAGCATATATCACAGTTTCCTTCCTTTTTAAAGCTGAATAATATTTCATTGTATGTATAGACCACGTTTTGTTTATTCATCCATCCATTGATGGACATTTGGGTTTCCTCCACCTTCTGGTTAATGTGAATAATGCTGCTATGAACATGGGTGTGCAAACATCTGCTTGAGTTCCTCCTTTCTTTTTTTTTTTTTTTTAAGATTTTATTTATTTATTTGAAACAGAAAGAATGAGAGAGAGAGAGCACATGAGAGGGGGGGAGGGTCAGAGGGAGAAGCAGGCTCCCGCCGAGCAGGGAGCCCGATGCGGGACTCGATCCAGGGACTCCAGGATCATGACCTGAGCCGAAGGCAGTCGCTTAACCAACTGAGCCACCCAGGCGCCCTGAGTTCCTCCTTTCAACTCTTTGGGGTATATACCCAGAAGTGGAGTTGCTGGATCGTATGGTAATTGGTAGGCCAGATTCTTAACCCAGTGTCTATGGATCCCATTTGGCATCTATCCAAGGATGGGCATTGGGGGCCTATGAACACAAGTCCATGCGTGGGTTGATGAGCACCGTCCTGGGGCGAGGGAGTCTACTGCTTTTATGGGTTTCAGAGGGCTTCTCAGTCCCACACTGTTCAGCTCCCCAGGGAGAGACAGGAACGTGATGCAGTCAGACACGTAACAGAATCCCTGTCCCTCCTAGTGTCAGCCATGCTGCTGACAGCGGTAGCTCAGTGAGCCAAACCAGCCGCTCACCACGCTTCTCTGAGCTGCTTCCCCCATGTTCACGTCAAGCCTGTCGAGTTTGAAGCCAGCTGACATGAACTGGCACTCGGGTGACCACCAACGAGGCCATTCAGCCTGTCGGGACCGGGGAGTGCAGCCATGATTGTTCCCAAAATGTCATGGTACCCACTCAGCGGCTGCTTACTACCTCTTGCATGGTCTACCTTTTTTTTTTTTTTAAAGATTTTATTTATTTATTTGAGAGAGAGAATGAGAGACAGAGAGCACGAGAGGGAAGAGGGCAGAGGGAGAAGCAGACTCCCTGTTGAGCAGGGAGCCCAATGCGGGACTCAATCCCGGGACTCCAGGATCATGACCTGAGCCGAAGGCAGTCGTTTAACCAACTGAGCCACCCAGGCGCCCTGGTCTACCTTTTAGACAAAAAGAAAGCTTCTAGTCCAGACATCTAGGAAAGACATTGAAGGATTCTTTTTTTCCAATTTAATTATTAAAATGTCTATTTTCATTCATCTAGACTATGATCTTCCCTGAATCCCCTAGGGATAACTTAGTAATTAATTTATCATTCATACTAGAACACCATTGAAAGTAAGAGAAACACTATTAGTAGTAACCCACATAAATAGAACTGTTCTGGATGAACTGGGACTTGTGGTTATACATACTCTGATTATAACTACTTTTTTTTTTTATTCTTATGTTAATCCCCATACATTACATCATTTGATTATAACTACTTTTTAAGAAAACAATAATTTACAGGGTGCCTGGGTGGCTCAGTCGGTTGAGCGACTGACTCTTGGTTTCAGCTAAGGTCATGATCTCAGGGTCGTGAGATCAAGCCCCATGTGAGGTTCCATGCTCAGCACAGAGTCTGCTTGAGATTCTCATTCTCCCTCTCCTTCTGCCCCTCCCCCCACCCCATGCTCACGTTCTCTCTCTCTCCCCCTCTCTGAAATAAATAAATAAAATCTTCAAAAAAAGAGAAAACAATAATTTACATGTTAACCATTGCTGAAGATTATATATAACATGAGTTCTAAAGCCAAGCATGATGATTTGGAATGCATACATACACATTGCAGATCATTTGTGTATAAATTTCATACATTTGGCAATAGATTTTAAGTAACAAATTGTTTTCCCTTAAAACTGTGAAGCTGTTGTCCCACTATTTTCTATCTTCCCTTGTTGCTATTAAAAAATCCCATGCTGTTCGGATCCACGAGGCTTTCTATGTGCCTGTTTTTTTTTTCTCCTTACCCTTAATACCTTTAGGATCTTTATCTTGTGTTATAAAATTTTATGATATTGTGCCATGATGTGGGTCTCTTTTCATCAACTTTTCTGGGTATATTTATCTTTAAGTTCTTGGAAGTTTCTTGAATTATTTCTTTGATAATTTTTTTCTTCTGTTTTCTCTTTTCTTTTTTCCTCTTGGAATTGCTGTTATTGTTAAAATGTTCATACTACCCAAAGTGATCTACAGATTCAGTGCAATCCCTATCAAAATCCCAGTGGCGTTTTTTTACAGAAACAGAAAAAAGTCTACAATTCATATGGACCCACAAAAGACCCCAGATAGTCGAATCAATCTTTAGAAAGAGCAAAGCTGGAAGGACTTACACTTCCTGATTTCAAAATATATTACAACGCGACAATAATCAAAATAATGTGGTATTGGTATAAAGACAGACATATAGCCAATAGAACAGAATAGAGAGCCCAAAAATAAATCCACACATGTATGGTCAGCTGATTTTTTTTTTTAAGATTTTTATTTATTTATTCATGAGAGAGAGAGAGAGGCAGAGGCAGAGGGAGAAGCAGGCTCCCCACGGAGCAGGGAGCCCGATGCGGGACTCGATCCCAGGACCCTGGGATCATGACCTGAGCTGAAGGCAGACGCTTAACTGACTGAGCCACCCAGGCGTCCTGGTCAGCTGATTTTTGACATAGGTGCCTAGGACATACACTGGGGAAAGGACAGTCTCTTCACTAAATGATGCTAGGGAAATTGGATATCCACGTGCAAAAGGATACAATTGGACCCTTACCTTGCACCATACCCAAAAATCAACTCAAAATGGATTAAAGACTTAAATATAAGACCTGAAACTAAAACTTTTAGAAGAAAACATATTGATTCTGGCGATGATTTCATGGACATGATACCAAAAGCCCAGGCAACAAAAAAAAAATAAACAAGTAGACTACATCAATCTAAAGATTTAATAAGATACCTATTTTGGGGCAAAGGGGCCCTTTTAGTTTGTTGGTAATTTTCAGTCATGTGAATTAACTGTATTTCTTTTTAATTGCAGAAATAGAAGAATATTCCATGGAAGTGTTATGCCAGGTAAGAAAGATCTTTGGGTAACATTTGTAACATTTTTTCCATCCTGGTGTTTTTACTGATACAAGACAGAAGTGTGGATATTCATTTAAAATCCTAGGAAAGCATTTCACAGCATTTGGGTATAAAAGTCTTACTGAAATTTAAGATGGTATTTTAAAAATGATAGCCAACACTTACTGTCTATCAGTTACTGTTCTAAGCCATTTGATGGAAGAGGAAACTGAGTCATGAGGAAGTAAAGTAATTGCCGGAGGTCAACAGTGGGTAGAGCCAGGTCTGAACCCTGAAATAGCTCCCACGTCCCTCCTTGTGGCCACTCCACCATCTCGCCTTTCCATCCTGAGAATTTTAAAAAATCACCTTATTTTGGTAGAGATGTTGTTGGCCAGACTGAGGGAGTCAGTGTGGCTTGGCGGATGTAATGGCGCTCCTATTCTAAGTGAAGCATGAGCACCATCGGGGAGGGGCCCTAATCTCAGACCTTGCCAAGGCTGAGGTGAGGAGACTGGGCGCCAAGCCTCCATCAGCCCTAGGGCAGAAACCAAGGCTGGAGGGGCTGAGGGAAAGAAACAGCGTCCTGGTTGGCCATAAAACTGGCGACACTAGGGACAGGTGGGTGGCTCAGTTGGTTAGGCATCTGCCTTCAGCTCAGGTCATGATCCCAGGGTCCTGGGATCGAGCCCCGCATCAGGCTCCCTGCTCAGTGTGGAGCCTGCTTCTCCCTCTCCCGCTTCCCCTGCTTGTGCTCTCTCTCTCTCTGTCAAATAAATAAATTTTGAGAAAATCTAAAAAAAAGCTGGCGATGCTAATTATGCTAAATTTACAAAAAGGCTCCATGTAGGAGTCACAGCTCTGCTCAGACTGTCCTCCAACCAGGCCCGCATGCAGGCTTTGGCGCCTCATGAGAGGAGCCTTGATAAAACCCGACTTTCCAGTTAGGGTTGTCCTTCCTTCCTCAGTTTCCAAGTCTTTACTTCTTCCACTCTGCCACTTCTGATCTTGCTCATGTACCCCCCCACCAAAATCCTACCAAGATCTCACCGGCAACCCTGTGTGGGGCCTCTCCCCATCCCTCTATTGTCCCTTCACTGGACCCCTGCTTGTTTCTGTCGAAATCGGTTCTCAAGGCAGATAAATTGGGTCACTTGACGTAACTGCCCTTGGGAGGAAGGTCTTTTACTAAGACAAGCAAGATAAAATGTGATGCTCCAGTCCTCCAACTCCACCCTTTAAAGTCATTAGTACGTCTGCTACTAGGTCTTCACCTAAAAGAATTTAAAAAAATATGTCCCCCCAAAACCAGGACATGAATGTTCACAGCAGCATTATTCACAAAAGCCAAAAAGTGGAAACTATCCCAATGTTCATCAAGTGATAAATGGATTAAAAATGTGTGGCATATCCATACAATGGAATATTATTCGCCATAAGCAGGCATGAAATCATGGTGCATGCTTCAACATGAATGAACCTTGCAAACCTTATGCTAAGATAAGCCAGTCCCAAAAGGCCACACATTGTATAATTGCATTGATATGAAGTTTCCAGAAGGGTCAATGCATAGAGACAGAAATGAAATTAGTGGTTGCCAAGGGCTAGGGGTAATGGGGAACAGGAGTCACTGTTAATGGGTATAGGGTTTCTTTTTGCTGTGATGAAATGTTCTCTAACCACGTAGCAGTGATGACCTCACAGCTCTGACCACACTAAAAATCCGCTGAATTATACATTTTTAAAGGGTGAGTTTTATGGTATGTGAATCACATCTCAGTAGAGCTGTCATTTGAAAAATTAGCACAATACTTTTAATGAAAAATTTTATTTAAAATACCCTGCATAATCTTTAAAAAAAAAATAACCTGTATAATCTTGAAATAGAGGATTATAGGAAACTGAATGAAGATCCATAATACTGCTTACCCTCAGTGCCCACAAAAACCCTTTTCTCAACTACATCCCCCCAAGTATATTGAAACCTCTTTTTTCTTAACCACAATTCCTTAGCATTGTGTGCCAGTTCATCATACGACTGTTATTTGTTTTAGAATAGGTACCTTTAAGGAACCATGAACCTATTCTCTGTATGTCTATAGTCTTAGGATTCCAAATTAGGGGTGTTGGAAAACCACGTAGCAATAATGGTATCTTCTCAAGTTCATTAACGTAGGGAGGCTTATCTACACCCAGTCGTCTCCGTCATTGTGTGTGACCTTGGGTAAGTCATTTAACCTTTTCAGGTCATGCCATCAAGTATCAAATGCAGCAGGTGGATGGACTTAGTGTTCTCCTAGACCCCTCCAACCCTGAGTGTGAGTCTCAGTTTGTAGCATTAAACAGCAAAAATTCAAGCAAGTAAATTGTAAAGATCTAAATGGTTTTATCAGTCAGTTCATAAATCGGGCAACATCCCACCTAGCAATAGAGGGGCGCTCCCAAGGGCTACAGAAAAGGGAAGGTTTTTAAAGGTAGAGAGGGAGTAGAAAGAAGGGAATGATCAGCAGAGAATCCATTGTTTTAGGCAAAGTCGCCCTTCTGAGGGGGATAGAGGGGGCCCCTCAGTGATTTTCTCATGCTGACCAGGAAATTCCCACATTGACTGCTTAGAGGTTACGTTTGTGGGGGGCTGAAAACTGCACTCAGGTTGGGTACTGAGTTTTGGTTTACTGATTGGGGCCTTCACCTGAGTGATGCCATTTGGGGCCTGTGGCTTTCTTTTTAACAGTAGGATGTGGAAATCACACTGAGCTAATCTTCAGTCTCTGTGGTTAATTGGAAAGTGAAAAGCAGCTCTCTGGTGTCTCTTCTAAGGAAGGGACACCAATCCTATCTGATCGGGACCCCACCCTCATGACCTCATTGAACCTTAATGACTTCTGCAAAGACCCTGTCTTCAAATGCAGTCACACTGGGGATTAGGGCTTTGACCTGTGAATTTTGAGGGACAAAGACATTCAGCCCAGAACAAGACTTCCTGACACCATTCAGTAATTGTTGCCCTATTTTGGGGGGGAAAGGTCTTCCTGACACCATCCAGTAATTGTCGCCCTATGTTTGGGGGGAAAGGTGAAAATAAAAACTGCTAAAATAATAAACTAGGTAATTACATCAATACTGTGTATCTACATCTTGGAAAAATAACAGGTGGTGTGTATTTTAACCAGTGGAACTTGTCATCTGCTCTTGCCTCCTCATGTTCTGGGGAGCAGTGGGGAGCCGGGGTAGCAAAAGGAATCAGAACACCTTACAATTCTTTCTCTTTGAAACTGGCATTGGCTGTAGGCAGAACTCTGTGTCCCCCCTGGTCCCCACAGAAAAGGGTGCCCATATTTGGTGGGTTTCCCCAGCAGAACTGAGACCAGAGGGGAGAACATCCGAACACTTTTTAATGCTCTTAGGGCAGTGAATACAAGGGCTGTGGGCAGCCCTATGTCTTCTCCCTGCCTCCTACTGTCCTGGAATTTCCATCTCCTTGCTTAATGTAGAACAAGAAATAGGCCCAGCCTAGAGAAGGAGAAGAAAATCGCCTTTCATTTTGGAAACACCTACAAGAGTAGATGTTGGAAATACAATCACGTATATCTTTTACGTCTTCGGCCTCTCATGGTGCAATCTCTGCAGCCCCCAGTGAAGGCATTGATCTGGGCCATCGAAAGCAAATTAGGATTACTTCTCAACTGGTAGACCGAGGGGAGGAGTCAAGGGACTGGAAACGATTTAAAATAACGCTGTCAGTCTACCTGGTGAAAGAGGATGGCTTTGAATGTTCCGATGTTGAATTTCTGAAATCAGATAGACCTGGAATCAGTCCCAGTTCTGCCATGGCCTTGGCCACATCATTTGACCCGTGTGAGCCTCAGTTTACTCATCTGTAGAGTGGAGCTACCCCTTCCTCCCCGCAGGTCCGTGTGAGGGGAAAGGAAGTGACGAATGTGAGGAGCATCACGCTACACCTAGGGCCAAGCTAGGGCTCCACAGAGGAGCATCTCCATCGACTTTTTTATTGTAGCAAGCAGAAGCTTCTCATACGGGCTCAGGTGAAGAGGGGGTAGTGTTGACAAATGAGACGCGATCGTTTAGGAGGCGTGAGGCTGAGAAACAGGAAGCCGATGTGGCTTTCTGGAGGGGCTGAATGGCCTGTCAGGTCTCTGGTTCATTTTCTCCACACCTCTGCTCTGCCCTCCCCGCCACCCCATTCCCAGCAGGATTCCCCTACTTGCTCATTTTGTACCTCGCCCAGTATGATAGCCCCAGCCCCGATTCTGGAGGACCCTCATCTCCAACACCTCCACACATCTTAGACACCTTTTCTAGACCCCGTGCTTGCTGACGAGTGTGGCCAGGTGTCCGCGTCTGTGCTGCGGGACAAAGGGCAGGTGCTTGCTGTCCTGGGCCAAGAAAGCAGCCAGACCTCTCCACAGCAGTTTTCTTCCCCTCTCTTTGTCCCAGGAAGAAGCCACGATTTCTGTCTTACAACGGATCTGGCCCAGTTAGGGATGTGCAGTGACAGACCCGGGAAAATTTGCTGTGTGTGTCTGGGGTCTACCTGGTTCCTGAGAGGATGCTGGCAAGGGAAGGGAGAGAGCTCACGAGCTCGGGAAATGACTGAACATTGTATTAGTGTGCTTGGGCCACCATAACAGAGGACCACAGACCGAGTGGTTTAAACAACAGACATTTCTTCTCTCACAGTTCTAGAGGCTGGAGTCCGAGATCAAGGTGACAGCAGAGTTTCATCTGAGGCTTGTGGAGGGCCGTTTCTCCCTGTTCCCTGTGTCTTCACATGGGCTTCCCTCTGTGTGGGTCTATGTCCAAATCTTTTGTTCTCGTAAGGATGCCAGTCAGCTTGGATCCTGGCCCACTCTAATGACCTCATTTTAACTTGGTCACCTTTAAGGACCCTACCTCCAAATACAGCCACATTCCAGGGTCCTGGAGGGGAGAGGTTAGGGCTTGAGCATGTGAATACAATGCAGCCCCTAACAAAGCAGACACAGGAATTCCCATCTGGAAGCAGCTGAGGTGGGTGCGTACAATTTCTGATGTTTGGGTGTGTTTTCTTCCTTAGGAGATGGTAACCTTCCTGGATAAGTTGGTAAGTAATTATTTTGAACTGATCCCTGGAGACTTCCGTTTGGGTGGGCAGTTAAAGATGCAGCCTTTGAAGGTTTCCACTGTTAGAGCCCCCGAGGAGAGTGGCAAGGGCAGGAATGGTCCAGGCCATGGGAGGCAGGGTCGGTGGTCAGGAGGAATTACAAGCACAGAGGTGGCAAAGTGTGTGGAGAACAGTGCAGAGCCACGTTTGTTTTGTTTTTTTTGTTTGTTTCACGGAAAGCATTTTCCAGGGAACAGGATCCCTCTGTTGGCTTTAAGTCAGGGTAAAGAGCTTTGCTTGCATCAGGAAGTTTGGAAACTATCCTGTAGGCTAATATTTTACAACTTTTTAAGATTGACATCCCTTTAGAAATACCTCGAATCAAGTGCCTTCAGGTAACCTTGTTTGGAATGGCAATGCCAAACAAAAAACAGATCAGCGATGGTGATCAGAGACTATACTTTTGCTTTTTACTTACGGAAGATTGAGATTGCAATTAGGTAATACGCTTCTCCCACCCTGAGTTAGGTCACGCAGCCTGGACTGAGGGGGAGAAGGGTTAAGCCAGGACAGTGACAGTGGAGGGACAGCTGAGAGAGAACCTGAAAACAGCGATTTAGTGCCTGTTCATTGGATATGAGAGTCGGGAGGAGAATTTGAGATGACTGAGGGCTTCCAGTTCAGCAGCAGGGCCTGGGGGCCCACCCTGTAGGAAATGAGACAAAGATGTCACGGTCCCTGCCCTCTCCAAATTCTCAGTCCCACAGAATTGGCTTTGGACCTTTTGAGAATGATAGGGACATCTAAGAGGACATGGCCCAGTGTGGCCACCCCAGTTCTGACTCTAGAGTGACCTCCTATCTGGAAGATTTCCGGCTGGCTGAGACAGTCTCTGACTCTGTTGAAAGAGAGCCCTCGTGGGGTTGCTGGCGGGCTAGGTGTCCCTCCCTGGCCCCGTCATTCCTGGGATGCAGGGGAAGGAAGCTGGGCCCATCGCAGGTGAGGTGGTCGTCTTCCACCTGGAGGTGGTGGCTGAAGCCATGGGAGCAGAGGAGTTCCCCAGACAGGACTGAGGGCTGAGCCGTGAAGTGCTCCCGTGTGACAGAAGAGGAAGGAGTAGACTCCATGAAGTGAGAAAACAGTCTAGAAAGCATAGTGTCACAGAAGCCCAGGGAAGAACATTTCAAAGGAAATGTCTGATGCCGCGGAAGAGTCAGAAGAGTGAGAGCCAAGAGGAAAAAAAAAAAAACTATTAGAAGTGATTAAATAGCCTTTAAGAGGGAAGCTTCAGTGGACTCAGTGGTCGCAGGGAAGAAGTCAGGATGCAGGGACTTAGAAGGTCGCCAGAGGCCACTGGGGTAGATCACTGTGAGAAGCTGGACACAGTGAAGACAGAGCGTGGCAGGGAGCTGAGTCAGGGAGCCACTTTCCACGGTGGTGGTGAGGAATGTGGCCAGCAGGGGGTGGGGGAGAGAGTCCGACTTTAAGCTGGGGAGGCATGGGTCTGGATGACCATCTATGTGGCCTCGGGCAGGTCGCCTAACCACTGTGAGCCTGTCTCCCTATTGTGCATGAGAAGGTTATGGAGGAGTTCCAGACAGGAGGTGTAGGCACTTAGCACAGTGCCTTTGACCTAGTAGGTCCTCCACAGAAGGGAGCTGTTGTCATTCACTGTTGGTAGCAGCAGAAGAAAGGAAGCTGCAGGTAGAGAGGGAGGGATTAAAGACGCCTTTGAGGTTTCAGTGGTTAGTTAAGGGAGGAAAGATCCCAAAAGAGTGGGGAGTAGAATCCTAATCACTCAATGAAAGATGAACATGGAGCACAGGGAGGTGAGTCATACTAACTTTAAAACAAAAAGTAGAAAAAGAGGTGAAACAAATTTCGATTTGAGGGGAAGTAGAGAGGGAGAGGGAATTTGGAGCCTGTGGCCTTAGGCTTCTGAGAAAATATAAAAGACCAGTCAGCTGTGGAGGTTCTCTGGGGCCGTTTTGTGTGGGAAGGGAGGCTTGAAGAGGGTGGACGTTGGAGTAGACACTGCGGGGTCGGTGGAGGGGGAGTCCCTGCCGGCACTGAGAGTTTGGGCCTACAGGGAGCACAAGGCGTCAGGGCTCTCAGCACCCCAACCCGGTAGCCCACTCACGTTCAGCTCCCGTCTTTGTCCTTCTCTAGGGCATCCCTCAGGCGGTGTTCATTGGCCATGACTGGGGAGGCATGCTGGTGTGGAACATGGCTCTCTTCTACCCCGAGAGAGTGAGGTAGGTAATTAGGCCTCAGGCACCAAGAATTTGGATTTGAATTCCCATTAGAATCCTTCCTCAGGTCTTGAACTCCAGTAAATTTCTTGAAAACAGATAGGTTGTTTGGGAAGGCACCGAACATCTAGCTTGCTAGTGCCCATTGACCCATTAATAAGGAGGACTTAGGGCGCCTGGGTGGCTCAGTCGTTAGGCGTCTGCCTTCGGCTCAGGTCATGATCCCAGGGTCGTGGGATCGAGCCCCGCATCGGGCTCCCTGCTCTGCGGGAAGCCTGCTTCTCCCTCTCCCACTCCCCCTGCTTGTGTTCCCTCTCTCGCTGTGTCTCTCTCTGTCAAATAAATAAATAAATAAAATCTTTAAAAAAAAAAAAAAATAAGGAGGACTTAATGAGCTCATGGCTTAGGAAGCAAGGCCTGTCCCAGGACAGCTAACTCAGGGCCTGGGTAGCCCAGTGGGAATGCAGGAGAATGGTGGTAGACTTCGGGGGGAGTGGGGGAGGCAGCGAGGGTGGCAGGGTCATAGAACAGAGTGTCAGAAGAAACTTCAGTCCTGAACTGGGAGTTAGGACACATGGCTTTCAGTTTTGCCCTGTGAGCTGGCTGTGTGAAACATCATGTCACCCCATTAGGCCTTGGTTTCCTCAACCACAGAGCGGTAATGGTAGCTCCTTTTGACTGTACAACCTGCAGAATGCTGTGTGGGTGTCAGGTTAGAATGGCACTTGGTGACGACCATCACGTCATTCATAATCATTCTGAGAATGGCATCAGGCCTCCGGCAGCAGCTTTCGGAGGACAGGTTTTGAACCCAGAGAGGCAGGTGGTCGTTGTGGCCATGCCCCCGTTGAGCTGGCAACTGTAGTGAAAGCCTGCGTGGCCTCCCATTTCAGCCTGGGATCTTAGCGAATTAAATAAACACCATCCTGGGGTGCCTGGGTGGCTCAGTTGGTTAAGCAACTGCCTTCGGCTCAGGTCATGATCCTGGAGTCCCGGGATCGAGTCCCACATCGGGCTCCCCGCTCGGCCGGGAGTCTGCTTCTCCCTCTGATCCTCCCCCTCTCATGATCTCTGTCTCCCATTCTCTCTCTCAGATAAATAAATAAAAAATCTTAATAAATAAATAAATAAATAAATAAACACCATCCTTCACAGCCACCTGTATCTCCCTAACTAATCTGCTCACTTTTTCTTTGGTGGCATTTATAAGATCGGAAACACTAGAGAACTTTGTTCATCCCAACATCAGCTCAAATGGCAGGATGATACCAGAGACCAAAAAGATTCAAACACTTCCTGAAATATTTTTTTAAGATCTTATTTATTTATTTGACAGAGAGAGACAGAGCGAGAGAGGGAACACAAGCAGGGGGAGTGGGAGAGGGAGAAGCAGGCTTCCCCCTGGGACCCTGACCTGTGCAGAAGGCAGACGCTTAACGACTGAGCCACCCACGCATCCCACTGCCTGAAATACTGTAAAAGTTGTTGCACTCTTGTGCATCTGATCTCTTTAGCTTCTCTCTCTGTCCTCTCATTCAGAGTTGAAATAAGAGCTCAGCTCTTAGGAATCGGGTCACCGGAAAGTTACTGCACAGACTGTAGTAGATGCTTCTTGAAGGGGACAAAAGGAAATAGAGCAACAGACTTATGATCTCTACCTTGAAGGAAGTGAAATGCCTTCTTGTTGTTTTATTAAACTTAGTCTCTCTCTCTCTCTCCCGTGAGAATTTGAGAATATTTAACATGAGCCCAGTGAAGTTGTACCCAGAGTAACATTAGGTCTGAGACAGGCAAACATGCTGTGCATTCCTGTCCCTACTCTCATTGTTCTGCTTCCATCCCATCTGTCATTAGTTCGGTAGTAGTTGCTCTTTCTGTGCTCATGAAAATGGCCCTATTACTTGCTTCCTGGGGGTCAGGAGGAAGCCAAGACCCCCTTCCAGGGCTGTCCGTGGTGGGACACAGCATATCTGGGCCTGGGCAAAGCTGATTTTAAGAATATTGTTGACGTTGATCTTCACCTTTCTGGCCAGAAAATGAAGGAAAGGAGGGAAAAAAGCCCACCTTTAATGTGGAATATTTCTTCAAATCCTTGGTTTTGGCATTCTATTGAGATAAACTGCAGGGACCTATTTAATGTAATGGTCTACTCACGTGTTTGGCCAAGAATACCTTCTTATATCCTTTCTTTGATAATCATCTAGAGATTCTGTTCCCAAAAGGAGGCTGTGGTTTAGCGTTTTCCAATCTTAATGTGGTTGGCAGCAGCATTGATATGCTAACATCTCATGTGGTGATGATAATTTTCTTATATATGGAATAAACTGTGTGTCAAGGCGATTGAAAAGAAAACTTTAGTCGGCTCAGAATATTTAGAAAAAGAACTTCTTGACTTGTGATTTAAGTAATGCTTGAAATAGGTTCACTCTGGTAACATTAGAAACCTTTCAACTTTGGTATAACTTATTTTGTAGCCTAAGCTTCACTGTCTAAAGGTGGCTACTGAACATTTAAAATGTGGCTGGTTCAAACTGAGATGCCTGTAAGTGGGAAATGCCTTCCAGATTTCGAAGACTTAATACCAAAAAAAAAGTAAACTATCTTATTAATAATTTTTAATTTATTGCTTGTTGAAATTATTAATATTTTAGATATATTGTGTCAAATATTAAATCATTTAAATCAACATTAGATTGTAAGTTAATATTAATTAACATATAATTGATATTAAGTACTATTTTAGATTAATCTCACGTGTTTCTTTTTACTCGTTTTAATTGGCTGGTAGAAAATTTTATTTTATTTTATTTTATTATTTTATTTTATTTTATTTATTTATTTATTTTATTTATTTATTTATTTATTTATTTTATTATTTTATTTTATATTTTATTTTATTTATTTATTATTTTATTTTATTTTATTTTATTTTAAGATTTTATTTATTTATTTGACAGAGAGAGACACAGCAAGAGAGGGAACATAAGCAGGGGAAGTGGGGGAGGGAGAAACAGGCTTCCCACCGAGCAGGGAGCCCGATGTGGGACTCGATCCCAGGATCCTGGGATCATGACCTGAGCCGAAGGCAGACGCTTAACGACTGAGCCACCCAGGCGCCCTGGTAGAAGATTTTAAATGATACGTGTGGCTCACATTATGCTTCTGTTGGTTGGCACTGGTTAAACCTCGGCACTGCTTTCCCTGATAATTTCATTTGTCCTAGTTATCCCGTTCCTCCTAGTTTATCTCTCCTCCAGATATTCTCTTCTCCATATTTCTCTTTTGGGAAGGAGTTACCCTAGGATCAGAGTGGGCAAGGGATCCCTTACTGATGAGCCAGGCTCACCGTGGTCCTGGCTGCCTTCTGTCAGCCCTGCCTTCATGTGGTCGCTCAGATCTACCCCTCTCTTTTTTTCCTCTCGCTGCCATCCTGCTGCTCTTGGGTGACTAATGCAGTAGTGTGCTGGCCCTCTCCCTGCTTCTGGTGTCCCTCTCTGCCCCCATGTCATGTATCACTGCTTGATACATCACTTCCTGACTGCAACTTCATTCTGTTCCTGCCTTCTTCTCAGAAGCCCTCATGGTTTCCTTGGTTGTCTGCCTCATCGAATCCAGACTCGGGGCCCTTCATGTCCAGGCTTCCACTTGCCTCGCTGGCTTTATTTCACAAGAGGCCCCATTAAACGCTTGGCCTCTGGCCACATAGATTCTTTGTTACATCAAACTCAGCCACAAGCTCTGCCCCCTTCTAGAATTTGCTCATACGACCCCATGATGTTGCCCTTACATATAGTCTCCCCTTCCCTACGCTCTTCCACCCCTAAAAGCCAAGTTCAGATGCTCTCTTTTCCATGAGACCTTCCATGATGCCCAAATCTAGAAACTCTTTGTCTCCTTGAACTCCCATGGTGCTTGTGCTATTCTTATGGCTCATATCACAGTCTGTCTTGTCATGGGTGTATTTATCTAGCCTTTTTAAATTATAATAAGCTCTTTGAGTATGATTTTATATCCTCTTTCCCCTAGAATATAGCACAGAATTAACTCAACACAGAGTTAAGTGAGTGAAGGAAGGAAGGAAGGAAGGGAAAAAATGAATGCATTTTTAGAAACTATAATCTAATTAAGGTTGATATACTGCACATAATGTGTATGTGTGTGTCAGTGTGTCTTTGTCTCAGGCAAGAAGGTGAGAAATACTGCAGTTTAGTGGGAAAAAACCACTGGGCTGGGAGTCAAGAAATCAGAGTGCTGACCCCATTCTCACACACATGGCTAATGTGAGATCTTGTGCACATCCCTTTCCTGCTCTGAGCTTCCATTTTGATGTGTAAGGTCCTTTCTGGTTCTTACAGGGTCTGTGTCTTGGTGTCTTTTTTTCCACAGGGCAGTGGCCAGCTTGAATACTCCCTTCATACCGGCAAATCCCAATGTGTCCCCAATGGAGAGGATCAAAGCCAATCCTGTTTTTGATTACCAGCTCTACTTCCAAGAACCAGTAAGTTGGGGACCCTGAGAGCAATGATCCCAGCAAGGTTTTTGTTCTTCTTTCTCCTTGGTCTCCCCTCCTCCCCATTGGCTTGATTTTCTCTCTGCCCCTTAATTTTCCATGGCATTAATCAGAAATGATTTTATACGTGGGCTCAGGTGAAGCTGGCTCTGTAGCTCAGCTGGTCCTTCCCAGGTGACGACACATTTCTGTGGGTGTGTATTTGGGGTGGCGAGGGGAAGGGAGTGGGAGTGATGGTGCAGTGGACTCTCCTGTTTCTCCAAAATTACGGAGTGGGGTGGGGCTGAGTGCCGGTTTCGAGCTGCCCTCTCTTAGTTCTATGGCTGAGAGGCTGGTGGAGCCCACGTCTGGTTAGGGACAGTTCCTGGGCTCTTGCTAGGGAACTGGCCCCTCACTTGCTGAGGAGTGTGGTTTGTGATTACAGGAGCACCAGAGCCTAAAAGACCTACACCAGGCCCCAAGTGTGCTTTGAGACATGTAGGAGGTTTCTGGGTATCACCTCATGTGCCACAAAGCCCAAGGTGCCCTTCAAAGATGCCCCTTGGATGCTGGGTTGACACCGGTGATGGGGTGTCACTGCCGCCTTCAGGGGGATTCACTGAGAGCAGCACTGTGAGTCAGCATCATCTGGCCTCATCTGCAGGGGGCACCTGCCACTCGTCCACTTGTGGACTCTGGACCCCAATGTCCAGCTACATCTGGGTAATTCCAGAGAGGATAAGAGATGTTTCCTTAGCACTCCCAAGAGAGAAGGATGGATTGAATTAATAAAGAACACAAGAACATCCCCCCCTTCTCTCACCCAGACCTTGCCCTTGCTGCTCACAGGAGGTACCATCCCCAGCGAGGGTCACAACCACCCCAGTTACAATTTGGCAAGTAACTTCTCTAAGAACGATTTTAGGGGCGCCTGGTGGCTCAGTTGGTTGTCTGACTCTTAATTTTGGCTCAGGTCATGATCTTAGGGTTGTGAGATTGAGCTCCATGCTCAGCGGGGAGTCTGCTTGAGATTCTGCCTCTTCCTCTGCTCCTCCCCCCACCACTATCTAAAGTAAATAAATCTCTGGGCGCCTGGGTGGCTCAGTCATTAAGCATCTGCCGTCAGCTCAGGTCATGATCCCAGGGTCCTGGGGTTGATCCCCGCATCGGGCTCCCTGCTCAGCAGGGAGTGTGCTTCTCTTTCTGCCCTTCCCCCCACTTGTGCTCATTCTCTCTCTCTGGCTCTCAAAAATAAATAAATAAATAAATTGATTAATTAATTAATTAATTAAATCTTAAAAAAAACAGCACACACACAGAACTATTTTAATTGATAAGCTGGTGCCTTGGAAGAGACACTTCCTTTTTTAAAGATTTTATTTATTTATTTATTTATTTATTTATTTATTTATTTATTTGAGAGAGAGAGAGATCACCAGGGGAGGGGCAGAGGGAGAGGGACAAGCAGACTCCATGCTGAGCACAAAGCCCGACACAGAGCTCCATCTCACAACCCTGAGATCGTGACCTGAGCCAAAACCAAGAGTCGGACGCTTAACTGACTGAGTCACCCAGGCACCCCTGGAAGAGGAACTTTTTGATTCAGGCAAGACTCATTCAGTAAGACACCAGAAGGCCCCAGCAACATCATGAAATGATGCTCCATGTATCAAGTCCTCCACTGAGGCCAGGCCCTACTGCGCCCAGAGTGTGGGAAGTGGTGAGCTCCCTTCGGCTTGAATTAATCAACATGTCTTTAATTAGTTTGAAGTAGTCTTGAGCTTGAAGGATGGATTAGATGGTGTATTAGTCAGCTGGGGCTGCCGTAACACAGTACCAGAGCCTGGGGGGCATAAACAATAGAATTTATTATCTCATAGTTCTGGAGGCCAGAAGTCCGAGATCAGAGTGACTACATTGTTGGTTTCTTCTAAAGCTTTTCTCCTTGGTTTGTAGATGGCCCCCTTCTTGGTGTGTCCCCCCATGGCATTTCCTCTGTGCCTGTGTGTTTCTGTGTTCAAATTTCCTCTTCTTATAAGGACACCAGTCATAGTGGTTGAGGGTCTACTCTAAAGACCTCATTTTAATTACCTCTTTAAAGACCTCATCTCCAAATATCGTTACATTCTGAGGCCCTAGGGGTTAGGACTTCCTAGGAATTAGGAGGACACACAGTTCAGCCTGTAACAGGTGGGTAAGGGGGAAACAAACAGTGCCCCTGGTGAGAGAAATGGGAGGACAGGGACAGGATGGGGACAGTGAGGGGAAAGGGTAGGGACGATGAGAAGTGGCCTCTTTGGAAGGCTTGGACAAATGAGAGAAGAAGGAGGTAAGTGTCCCTGTGGTCTGGACACTAAGCCCTGGGCCTGTAGTTGATGTCAAAAGTAGTAGAGAAGAATCCTTGTAGGCTCATTGCCCGGTCAAAGATGGCCCCATGAAAATTCTTCCAGCTGGATTGGAAGTCAGAATCCCAATGTCAGGTGTGACGTACTGCCTGCCACCCTTTCCCAGGTGTTTGCTTCGGCCCTGTGCATCTCACACTGGAGAAGGCTCTGGTGGTGGGGAGAGAAACAAAGTCTTGGTGGCAGGTGTCTTGGTGGCAGCTGCCTTGGCCTTTGGGAATTGGGGAGGGAATAGGGCCCTACCCAAAACTGGGAAGCTGGTGTCTGGATTCCTCTCACCTCTTATCTGACCCTTTCTCAATCTCTGGCTCTGCTTGGCCCCCACCCTCCAAGAGCCCAACCCCCTCCCGCCGCCCTCTGTGCCCAGAGTACGCCCTTCCAGAGGAACCCCGCCCCCCCCCGCCGCACCACCACAGACCTTTCCATCACCAGTGCCCCATGCTTCATAGTTACTTCTCACCCTCTTCCCTCCACCCTCACCCAGCCCCCATGCCCCAGGTATGGGCAACAGGCCCTCCACACTCAGGGCCCAGCTGCCAGGCTACACCATATGGGGGACGCAGAGCGCAAGGGAGGGCATGCGCTTTCATGCCCACTCCTTTCTCTTCGACCTTTCTTCCTTTTTCTTTCTCATCCCTTTGGATTCCCCATTCATAAGAACAGAGGTGCCCCCGATGGGGGGGATGGGGGAGCATTACAAATACGTTTAAATGTCAGAATGTTTTGACTGGTGTTTCTTAGGAATAATTAATATCCATGAATTCATCTAGCAAATGCTTCTGCATCTTCTCTTGTGTGTCAGTGTCAGGGCTGAGTAACAACATGTACGGATTGAAACAGTTCTTGGAGGGGGCGCCTGGGTGGCTCAGTCGTTAGCGTCTGCCTTCGGCTCAGGTCATGATCCCAGGGTCCTGCTCGGCGGGGAGCCTGCTTCTCCCTCTCGCACTCCCCCTGCTTGTGTTCCCTCTCTCGCTGTGTCTCTCTCTGTCACATAAATAAGTAAAATCTTAAAAAACAAAACGACAACAACTTACTGAAACAGTTCGTGGAGAAGCAAGCAGGTGACACATACCTGGAGAATAAGGCAGCCATACAGGACCGGCCTGAAGACACAGCTTACTCTGGGAGCTCGTAAGAAAACACAGGTCACTCTTACCAGAGGAGAGACGTTCGAACTGGCCCTGGGAAGATGAATAATAGGATCTGTGTGGGTGACTAGGAGAGGGAAGGGCATTCTAGCCTGAGGGGACAAAGGGCTGAAAACGCATACGAAACTTGCTTCACTCAGACAAGTTATTTATCTCCCATAAATATCATGGGACATAAGAGAGTTCCAAACAAATACTCAGTGATCCTGAAGATGGGTTTCAGAAGGTCTGGAACATCTTGAAATTGCCTGCACAATGTACTGTATGCATGCATTTTCCCAGGGCAGGAGTTCCTTCCTCATTTCTATTACAACTGTGAGAATTCAGTACAAGCTAGGAGCAGTTGGAGCCAAGGGTCAGGACCTCAAAGAGCTTTAGTTAATGTGGGTTATGTCTACTGGTATTTATCATACTGGATACTGAATATTTAAAATATTTATTATTTCACTTAAAAAATAATAATAATGTGCCCATGTTAATGTAAATAACACATTTTTTTAGATAATATTTTCCTTCAAAAATTTAATGAGGGGGCACCTGGGTAGCTTAGTCAGTTAAGCGTCCAACTCTTGGTTTCGGCTCAGGTCATGATCTCAGGGTTGTGAGATCAAGTCTCATGTCGGACTCTGCGCTGAGCGTGGAGCCTGCTTGAGATTCTCTCTCTCCCTCTCCCCCAGGCATATTCTCTCTCTCCTTCTTTCTCTCTCAATAGGTAAGTAAATAAATAAAAAATAAAATAAAGTAAAATAAAATAAAAAAACGCCACGGGCCCAAAATGGCATCACTCAGGTGAAGGCCCCAAGTCAGTAAACCAACACTCAGTACCCAACCTGAGTGCAGTTTCAGCCCCACAAACATAACCTCTAAGCAGTCAACATGGGAATTTCCTGGTCAGCACAAGGAAATCACTGAGAGGACCCCTCCGTTCCCCTCGGAAGGGTGACCTTGCCTAAAACAATGGATTCTCTGCTGATCCATTTCCTCATTTCCACTCTTTCTCTACCCTTAAAAACCTTTCCTTTTCTGTAGCCCTTTGAGCGCCCTCTGCTGGCCAGACGGGATGCTGTCTGATTCATAAAGCCAAATAGATCTTCAAAACATACTTGGTTGAATTTTTGTTATTTAGCAACACACATAACATAAAATTTACCATCTGAACCATTTTTAAGAGTACAGTTCAGTGGCATTAATTACATTCGCATTACCATACAGCCATCACCACCATCCATCCCCAGAACTTTTTCATCATGCAGATCCAAAACTGTGCCCAATAAACACAAACTCCCCATTGCCTCTTTCCTCCAGCCCCTTGCACCCAGCATGCCACTTTCCGTCTCTGAATCCGACTACTCTAGGAACCTCATAGAAGTGGAGTCATACAGGATTTGTCTTTTTGGGTCTGGATTATTTCACTTTATACAACATCCTCAGGACTATTCCATGTTGTAGCGTGTGTCTG